CATTCTTGGAAAAGTAGAGGATCGGCAAAGGAGAGGAAAACTTTGGGTAAGGTGGATTGACACAGTCACTGTAGCAAACGATTTGCGCACAGTGGAGGATGGTATAGCATCGGGCAGAGTGTTGTTCATCTGGACAGACTCAACCACAACTAATAGTAAGTAATAATAACTCACACACACACACACACACACATATATGATTAAAGAAGCAATCATCATCTTTTCCTTGCTGGTGAATCAAATCTGAGTCATAGCTGAACTTTGAATGACTTCTTTTTTTAAAAACAAATCGTTTGTTATTTTAATGAATGTTTACAGAGAAGTCAGATTTTCATTCATTCGTTATTGTACATTTCAAAGTCTATAAATCACATGAGAGAAGATTGTCTATCTTTGTCTATTGGAGCAGCTGGTGAATTCAAACTGCCTTCCTTTGGGTTGACAGCACAACTCCTTACCCACAAGACCACCACAGCAATACAGAATATGTATCATGTAAAAAGTTTAAGTCTCCCATAACCCACTCAAAGTTACTTTATTTTTTGGCAAAATATGTATTCTTCTACATATTTTTTTAAAGTTCTACAACTACATTCTTCCCCTCCCCTTTAGTATATATTGAACATCATTCTGCCTCATTAAAAAATATTTGCATAGTATATCAATTAAGAGATAAACATATTTGATTTAAAAATCCTTGTGCTATTAATTTAGGTGATTCACAACTTTTGTTTATACAAATCGTGAGTATCCTCATCTTTCCTATTTGTGGAGGTACCACTGCAAGATAAACTCCTAGAAATAAATTATATGTCCCAAGAGGTCCTCCTTACCACTCCCTTTTCTTTCCATTGCCTCTTCTATCAACCTTTCTTTTTTTAATTAAATTTTATTCATTTTAATGAACATTTACAGAGATTTGGGGTTTTCATTCATTCATTGTTGCACTATTTTCTCTGCCCTCCTCCCCAGTTCTTCTTCCCCCCCCCCATGAAAGTCTGTTTTAATTGTCCAATTGCCACAGTGCTTGTCAAAGCCAGTTCTGATTAATCTCCTTTGTCAGTGCTAGACTGCAGGGTCTGATGCAAGGAGGACACACTCTGCCTTTTTTTTTTACATAGTAAAATATTTCTTTTCTGTAGCTACACCTCTGTCTCACACTCCTGTCGTGACTCAAATGTCTCCTCATATTATCAATACCAGGGTGTTTCAACATTTTCTTCTAGTAGAGTTTGAAAAGCATCAAGGCCCAGGTCATCTTGACTCAGAAACGGTTGAAGGTCAGGTATTTCCCCAGCTTGTCTCAGGCCTCTCTGCATTTCTACAGGCCTCCTGAGGTTTTCTGCTCTTTTGCATCCTGGCGTCACGAGCTACGCCACTGAAAATATTGGGAGGCTCAGGCACTGCAGAGGCAGCCCCCATACACAGCAGGAAGTATCAGGGAGGTGGAGAAGGTCCTGTAGCCAACGTCGGCGAGCTGCCTGGCAGTTGGCATACTGGTCCCTGCATGCTGCAACTCTTCGTGTCCAGCCATGGCCTCCACAGGTAATGTATCACTCCCACTAGTTACTTTGTCCTAATACACACCTCGGCCCAGTATCGCGTGCTCACCCTGGACCAAGCAGTTGCTGACCTTTTGAGCTTCATCTCAATTAACACAGCCATCTCAAGAGAGGAAGACCTTCAATGAGATGAGCTCACACAGTGACTGCAGTACTGTGCACAGGTGTCAGAGCAAGTGAGGACGGCACAGGACAGGGCAGGGTTCAGAACTGCTGTTCACAGGTTGCCGTGAGTGGTACTTGACTCAATGGCACCTAACAACAATATAATAATAAGAGGAAGAGTGGGGACATTGGCCTGGGTCCGTCTGTTACGCAAAATGTTCTCACAGGGACTGGGAGACAGAAATGATTACGTTTTCAGCTACTAACCAAAAGGTTAGCAGTTTGAATCCAAGAGGCACTGCGGAAGAAAGGCCTGGCAATTCTATTTCCCAAAAATCACCCTCTGAAAACCCTGTGGGGTATAGTTCTCAGACACTCACAGGGTCACCAGGAGTTGGGCCTGGGGCAAATGGAACCTGAGTTGAAGTTTGGGTTTTTCTCACGCTGGGCAGTAGCTAGGTGGAAACAATGAGAATAAACCATGATTGCTGATGTCACAAAGGCTCAAAAAGCATCCTGTAGTATAGTCTGAAGTGCAGAGACTTTCCAACCCCAGCAGCCCCCTAAAGCCAAAGAGAAATCCAACAATTCTTTCTCTGTGCACTGAACCCTGCACCACCGCTCTTGTCCAGCAGAGGGCAGCAGTCCACTCAGTGGATTTGTTACTCTGACAGGATGGACAGTGGGAAGGGGGTTGGTGGAGGGTCCACCCTCCCTTTTTTACACTCAGGCCCCAACCTAGTGTACAGACACCAAGCATAGCTCGAGTTAACCTCTCCTACTGTAGCTATGTGCCGTCAAGTCGCCTGTGACTCACAGAGACCCTATGTACAGCAGCTTGAAGCCTGCGCTGTCCTGAGCCAGTCTCACTGACTCTGACACACCAAACTCCATCACTGTATCAGGGGGTGGGGGGTTGGGGGGGTGTCTTCCTCTCCTGCGGTGTCCCTTCACCCTTCCAAGCATGCTGTCCTTCTCCCAGGACCTGTCTCTCCTGGCCACGTGGCCAAAGTATGTGACACGGAGCTTCAAAATCCTAGCCTCCAAGGAGAAACTTGGTTTCACCCTCTTTAAGAAAGATCTATTTGTTTTCTTGGTGGTCCATGGTATGTTCAAGACTCTTCTTCAGCACCACATTTCAAAAGCATCACTTCTTCTGTCATCCTTAGTCACTGTCCAGCTCTCTGATGCATAGCAAATAATTGTATCAGGGATGCGTCCTGTTTCCATACCTTTTCAATCTATATACAGAACAGGTCATTCGGGAGGCTTGGCTTTATGAGGAGGAATGTGGCATTAGGATTGGAGGAAGAATCCTCAACAACCTGTTATGCAGATGATATAACCTTGCTTTCTGAAACTGAGGAGTACCTGAAGCACTTGCTACAGAAAGTCAAGGACTATAGTCTTCACTATGGATAAAAGCTCAACATCAAGAAGACTAAGATTCTCACCACTGGGCCAACTGGCAGCGCCATGATGGAAGGAGAAGAGACTGAGGTTGTTAACAGTTACAGCTTGCTGGCTCCACAATCAAAAACTCTTGGCATCAGCAGTCAGGAGATCAAAAGACGAACTGCATTCAGAAAATCTGCTTTAAGGGATCTTTCCAGAGTACTGAGAAGCAACGATGTCAGCCTAGAGACTAAGGTGCACCTAAGCCAGGCCGTGGTCTTCACAATTATCTGCTATGCTTCTCGCATCAGTTAACTGTTTAACCGATGTTGGGTTGGAAGTGAAGCCACTGCTGTGAGATGTCTTCAAGCTGAATCTAACTCCGAGCGACTCACGTACAACAGAATCCAGTACCGTCTGGTCCTCACCATTCTCACAATCGTGACGTTTGAGCTCATCTTTGAGCTACTGCATCAGTTCATCTCACTGTGGGTCTTCCTCTTTTCCACTGACCCTCTTCTTTAGCCAAGCATGTCCTTCCCCAAGGACTGGCTCCTTCTGGTAACATTTCACAGTACAGGAGACGAAGCCTCAGTCTCCTCACGCGTTGGGATCCCTCGGGCGGCACTCGTTCCTAGACAGGTCCGTTTGGTTTTCTGGTAGTCCCCAGTATATTCAATATTCCTCGCCAACACCATAATTCAAAGGCATCGATTCTTCTCCAAGCATCTTTATTTACTGGCCTGCTTTCACATGCACTGGGGACAAAGGAACACATCAGGCCTTGGGTCAGGAGCGCCTTAATCGTCAGAATGACATCTCTGCTCTTTCACACTTCAGAGGTCTCTGGCAGCAGCTTTGCCTGATATGTTGTCTGCCTTCTTGATTGCTGCTCCCATGGGCAGCGCTGTTAAACTGTTAATAACGTTATCTGTTTCACAGACTGAATTTGGCTTTAGAAGGGGTCAGACTCCTTCAAGACAAGACATACTTTTCATCATTTTTCCATCATACAATGGAATGTTCTTCAGAGTTTTAAAAAAAAATGTCATGAGGAAAAAACCCAAGCCAAAGGCGGCTCTGCTCTGCAGCCCAAGTCAAGATTAACTTGGCTATGAGGTGCAGGGAGGGGTGAAGGGGGCAGGCTATTTCTGAACACGGGAAGTGGCCCATTGTTCACCAGCACCGAAGCTTCCTGCCTAAGTGCTGACTGGACTCCACCTACCCTCCATGGGACTGACACCCTGTCTTGGGGTGTTGCCAAAAGGCAACAGGGAGAGAAAGAGTCCCCTTAGCATCCAGAAGACAGAATCAATCTCACCCCTCCTCCCCAGTTATACCAGTACCAGGAAATCCTACCCAGGATACATTTATGTGGGGGGCCTAGAACCACTGGGGACCCATCCTGCTGACCAGGCCCTTTAGGCATCCCATAGAGGCCCCCAAGGTCCTCTGATGGCTGCAAGCTACACCCTGGCTGTTCTGGGGGTGTCCCAAAGGGGCTGTATGTCACGTGTTGAGAGCTGGGCTCCCCGTCTGCTTTCACGGTAATGAGACCAATGACCTCGATGGGGTGAGAGGATGGTCCCCCAGGAAAGATGCAGATGGAGGGCTGAGCCCCGCATGAGGGAGAAGCCCCGGGCCCAGACGAGACCCACCGTCGGACAGATCCGCGTTCTTGGACAGCTGCTCCAGCTCCCAGCCCAGGTGTGCGGACTCATTCATGCTCTGCTTCTGCGCCAGCTCCAGGACCATGTTCTCCTCCAGCAGCTCCTCGATCCGCTTCTTGTCCGTGTCCCTGTCCTACGGGGGTCGGGGGAAGAAGGGAGGGTGAAGATATGCCAGGAGACCCTCGGGACCCCCACAAGCCGCTGCATGGAGACCCCCTCCTCGGCCCCAGACGGTCCTGCCTGGAGCTGTGTGGTGCAACCCCTGGTATGCAGAGAACTGTTCTCCCCACGTGTCTAAAGCTGTGACCTTTCAGAAGCGGACTGCCAGGCTAGTCCTCTGAACCACCAAACTTTTAGGAGCTGGGCACCTAACCTTTACCATGCCACTCAATGCTTGTTAAAGAGGCCTCAACTGTTAACTGAGAGATCAGAGGTTTACAATCATTCAGTAGTACCCAGGAAGAAAGGCCTGGTAACTCACTTATGAAAAATTGGCCCGTGAAAACCCTGTGAAGCACAGCTCTGCCCTGGGCCACGTGGGGTCCCCAAAAGCCAGTATCAGCTTGATGACAATGGCTTTCAGCCCCAGCTGATAAGGAACCTGGGTGGTGCCAGCAGTGTGTTGTCTGCTGCTGAGCTAAAGGTTGGAGGTTCAAATCCAACCAGCGAGTGGTGTCTAGGAAGAAGGCAGGCCTGGTGATTTGTTCCCAGAAAGAATACAGCCCAGAAAACTATCAGGAGCAGTGTTACTCTGGCAACAACAGCAACATGAAGAGAGTTAAGAGGGTGTCTGTTGTCTAAAAAAAGTATTGTCAACTTGACGTTGTTACTGGTGTGTGCAATTGAGTCGGGACTGTCCCAGAGCTGAGCCTCTGACAAGGCTCCAGAGGCAGTTAACTGCATGGGAGGAAACTGTCCGTCGTTATCTTGTGTAGCCACTGGTGGATTCGAACCACATGTTTTCAGGACTGCAGCACGGCCTCTTACCACTAGGCCATCATAACTCCCTTCTGTTAGGTACCATCAAGTTGACTGCCATGCATAAGGACCCTGTGAACAACAAATCAAAACCCTGCCCTACTCCGCATCGTCCCCAAGAGCTCCAAGTTCAAGCTCATTGTTGCCGTCACTAACTCAATGGGGTCTCCCTCTCCTTCACCGACGCTCTCTCTGTCCCAGGATGCTGGCTTTCTCCAAAAACTGGGCCCTCCTGACAAAGTGCCCGAAGTACACGAGCCACTGTGCCATCCTTGCCTCTGAGGAGTGCCCTGGATCAAGGAAACGAAGTGCCAGCCACCCAGGGCAGCTCCTCGGCCCCAGGGCACCTACGGCCTCTGGGAGGCTTCAGTCACAGGTGACCCAAAAGGCAGCAAAGGCCCTTCCCCCAAAAAAAGAGCCCGGGTGCCTATCCCTGCAGAAATGTAGCCAGGCCCTCAGGGCCTCCGGACTGTGGGTGTCGAGGGCTGTGACGGCCACTGCGGCAGGCACAGACCCAGCCGCTGAAACATCAGTCAGAGAAGGACCCGGCCCAAACCGAGCGTGGCCCCACCCTGCGTGCCCCACAAGGTGACAGCGCGGCTGGACGAACCAGCTCCAGGTCGTGCAGCTTGGACTTGAGCTGCAGGTTCTCCTTGTCCAGCTCATGGACCTTGTCGCCTCGGGCCCGGGCTGCCGTCAGCTGTTCCTCCAGCATGGCTTTGGTCTCGATCAGGATGATGTTGTCTTCTCTCAGCTCCTGGGGACAGACAGACACGAGGACCATCACACAGAGGCACTTGGTCCAGTAGGACAGACTTCGAGCCAAAGCTCTCGGGCGCCTGGACCGAGGGAACTCCTCCACATTCATCCTCAGCACCTTTGACACTGGGCCAAGCTCAGGTGGCCTTGTCCACCCGACGGGCACATCCGCGATGACCATTTCTCCATTTCTATTCAAGACAGCAAGGACGCTCACTAACCGCTGTCCACCCAGGCAGGTGAGGGACAGAGAAACTTTATAACCTCACAGGATCCCACGGGTCGTCTCTGCTTTCGGATGTGGGACCTCTCTGTGTCCAGCTTCCTTAAGGAGGATGGGATGAAGGGAGCTCTGGTGGCCTAGTGGCAAGAAGCTGCACTACAATACCAGAGGTACATGGTTCAAATCCACCAGATGTTCCGTTGGAGAAGGAAGAACAATCTCCTCCTGTACCAGTCAGATCTGATTTGACAGTACACACACAAAAAATAATAAAAAAAATAAAAAGGACAGGATACAGCTCTGGGGAGTTACACTTCTAACCCAAAGACATCCCTCTCGCGCGGTTTGAATCCACCAGCAGCTCCAAGGGTCAAAGATGGGCAATGTCCTCTCATGAGGGTCACAGGCTCGGAAAGTCTGCTAGAGGCTCAGCTGTGAGTCGGTTCCAACTCACACAATTCCACGCTCCGCGGAGAAGAGTCTGTCTTGGGACTGACATCTGAGTCTTGTTCTCTCAAATCAATATACATTACTCTGATCAGGAGCCCAGCAAAACAACAGCTATTCAGACGTGCTTCCACCCACCTGGCGCCCCTTTCACACCACATTCTAGGAAACACAAGCGTTCTTAGCAGTTGCCTAACAATGAATGTCTTTAATAAACAAAAAAAGCAACACAACAAACCAAGCACACACACACACACACACACATACAAATGAAGCAAACCCCACAAAACTCACTGCTGTCAAGCTGGAATCACCTCATAGCTGACCTTCCAGGGGTTCTCAGAGACCATAAAGAACACAGGAGAAGGCCTCCTCTTTTCTCCCACAGAGCAACTGGTGGATTTGAACCATCCACCTTTGGGCTGGTAGCACAACCCATTACCAATGAGGCCACAGAGACAATGATGTCACAATATACTGCACGGTGGACATGCCTTTAGAAGGGACCAGTCCCTGGAGAAGGACCCCAACCGTGCTTGGCAAAGAAGAGGGTCTGCAAGCAGGAGACCCTGCAGGAGACAGACCAACACAGTGAGCATGACAGTGGATTTCAGCACAGCAGAGACCGCGGGAGGCGTGGCATCAGGCCCGGCTCTCCGCACCCCCAGGTCTTCACAGCTTTCGTTTATAACATACTTAATGTAACTGTGATTCTGATGAATGTTTGCAGAACGGTTGGGATTTTTATTCCTTCACTGCTGCACACAGGCAGGGTCCTGATCTGCTGGGCATGGGGTCTTTCAGCTGGAGTCGACTGGACAGTATCTGACAACAGTATCTGACAACAGGATCAGCCGGCCCCACACGAGCCCCACGAATGGACAGTAAGCTGACTTACATTCTGGGGGCACAAACAGCGGCCAGTCCCGACGCAAGTCCCTCATGGGGAAGGATCTGCCAAGTACTGGTCACAGACCTCTGGTACCTCCAGGGATGACATGGATTTGTCCCTCAATCTCCACTTGGCCCCTTGCCCAGAGGGTGCTGGGCCCCTACGCGCTGGATTCTCCTGTCTCCAGCCACCCAGCACCACTCTGCAGTCCGTGGGCCTCAACCTCCCCACAAGCTGGGACTGGAGGAAGACGTCGTCTAAGCCTTCCTCAGAGAGGGACTAAGCCACCCTGGGGGAGGGGATTAGACGCTCCTGCGCGTCCACTTCCAGCTCCTGCTCCCTGGACATGGGCAGAAATCCTGGGGTTTGGGCCAAGGGGAATCATACGCTGGGTTAGAGGACACGGACTGGAGCAAGTCTGGTACCTGGGGAAGTCGGGTCACAGGAACCCAGGGTTCAGCTGTCCGGCCTTACCCGAGACCACGTCCACCCTGGGGCTGTGTTGTGCTGGGAATTCTGAGTCCTCGCCTCATGTTCTCACCGTAGCTCCAAGAGGGACAGTCCCCTCTCACAGATGAAGACATTGGCCTAGACGAATTAAACAACCAGTTCCGGGAGGAACGAAGCTGGGGTGTGAACTCAGGTCCTCTGGGATTCAGATCTGTGGGTCACTGCCCTACTCCACCTGCCACATCAGCTTTCCAACCAACTCCTACTTATCCTTCAAAACCCAACCCAAGCTGCCCCTTCAAGAGCCCCCTAATGTGCCCACATCCCTTGTGAGTCGGGCACTGGGGCTCCCACAATGCCACGGGCACACTCTGAGGCTGTCCTGCCCAAGTCCATCAGGGGAGTCTTCATCTAGATGTTCAGAAACACTTGGTGGAACTGCGATTCGATGAGGCTGTTAGAGGTGGTGTCTGAGGCTGACTGTGAAGGACTAGAAACTTCTAATGGGCCGAGGCAGGCAAGGGCACCAGGAATGGGGCAGGATGGTCCCAACTGTGACTCAGACCAGCCTCAATGGCCATTGCTATTTCTACCACATCAGGCAGCAAACACACAGGCTCCACGGGGCCACACAACCTTCCGGCCCTACAGGGTGTGGGGTGAGACTGTTTGCAATGGGAAGTCCAAGGCACCCCCAATCCCAGTGCCTGGCTGCCTGGCTCCCCTGGTGCTATTTTAACCCCAATGAAATCACACCAGGAGCCACAGCAAAGCTGCTGGGAGTTCAAAGACAAACTATGACCATTTTTGCTCCATGCTTGTCTGAGCCTCCCCCTTGTCCTCTGCTCTCAGAGGCACTGACCACACCCCTATGGATATGCACGGATGTGTCTCCCAGCAACTGGACGTCCAGGCACCTGTTCCCCTCCAACCCCGACCACGGTCCTGTCTCCTGCCCACAGCACAGGACCAGCATCCACTCCTGACAGGGGCAACCCCTGTCTGGCTCCCGAAACTCAGTGCCTTTCCACATGTGCAAGTATCTGATCTCATCCACCCTTGGGGTGCCTGTGTGTCCCAGCCCCCAGGAAGGGGTCAAAAGAAATCTTTTTCTCAACTCTCCAGCCACGGACTGGCCCCCACCGCACAAGGGAGAGAGCGGAGGAAGGGAGGCCAGACGATGCACACGTTGTCCACCCAGGAGCCCGGGAGAACGTGCTACATGCCAACGTCAGGGCCCACACTCGGGGCGCTGGGGCAGGGTCCAGGAATCTGCATCCTAAGCTGATACTCTGAGCAGCTTCTACTCTAGAAAACATCACATACCTTGAGAACAGGTGAACTAAGACGTGCGACGGTGCAGTCTCAAAGCCTGAGATTCAAGCTTTCACCTATCTCACCATTAGGGAGCTCTGGCGGCTTAAGTGTGCTGCCAACCCAAAGGGAGGTGGTTCGAATCCACCCGCTGCTCTGCAGGAGACAGATGGACAATCTCCTCCCATGCAATTTACCGCCTCTTGAAAACCTGCAGGAGGGTCAGCTATGAGTCGGTCCCAACTCGAAGGGACACGACATGATCAGACTGACACAGGTGATCAAGTATTGCTGTTGTTAGGTGCTGCCGAGCGTAACTCACAGTGACCCTGTGAACAACAGATCTGAACCCTGTCCTATCCTGTGCCAACCTCACAACCTCTGACACACTCGAACCTGCTGCTGCAATCACTGTATCAACCCATCTGAGGGTCTTCCTCTCCTTCACTGACCCTCCACCTTCCCAGGCATGATGTCCCTCCCCTAGGAACACTCTCCCCTAGGAAAACCCTCTCTTAGCAACATGCCAAAGTATGTGAGACAAAACGGCCAATGTCTCCGCTGCTCTTGTAGTTAGTTTTGTTTCACCTGAATTTTATGATGAAAATTAAAAAAAAGTATGCTGAGAAATAGATAATTGGACACTTGTTGTTGTTATGTGCCGCTGAGTTGCTTGTGACTCATAGTGACCCTATCTATGCACAAGAGCCCTAAACCCTGCTCTATCCTGTGCCAACCTCGCCGTCTCAAACACATTCATTCCCACCACCCCAATCACAGAATCGATCCATATCATCGAAGGCCTTCCTCTCCTTCACCGCCCCTCCCCTCTGCCAAACATGATGTCCCTCTCCAAGAACCAGTCCCTCCCTGCAACATACCCAAAGTATGTCAGACGAAGCTTCAGAATCCTTGACTCCAAGGAGCATTCCGGCTTCACCTTCTCCAGGACAAACCTGTTTGTTTTCCTGGCAGTCCATGGTATATTCAACACTCTTCTCCAGCAACACAGCTCAAAGGCATTAATTCTCTTTCTATCATCCCTATTCACTGTCCAACTCTCTGATGCATAGCATGTAATTGCGAAGACTATAGCCCGGATCAGGAGCACCTTAGTCTCCAGCCTTATGTCACTGCTCTTCAGTACTCTTGAGAGGTCCCTCACAGCTGACTTTCCCAATGCAATTCGTCTCTTGATTTCCTGGCTGCTGGTACCAAGAGCGTTGACTGTGGAGCCAAGTAAACTAAAACTGCTAACTATCTCAATTTCTTGACCATCCACACTGATGCTGCCAATTGGACAGTGGACACCCATATACACACTGCCCAGACTGCACACTTCCCACATTTCTCTGTTGGCTGCATCACGTCCCCATCCGCCCCTCTCTCCATTTCTCCATTCCTTCTTCTGAATACATTTCAAACTGAGTTGCAGATCTCAGTCCACAGCTAGTTTTGTGCCTTTTTAATTTAAGGTTTTATTGTGTGCAGGCCAGCCTCAATGCAGATACATCTGTGCAACAGACTCAGCCACAGGACTGCTTAGAGATGTTCTGAGTGGTCCCACAGAATTGTGCAGGTGGTTGTCCAAGTAGAGCCAGGGAACACTGCCTGGTTCCCAATCAAGACAGGTGTGTGTCAGGGCTGTAACCTTTCTCCACACCTTGTCAAAACATATGCTGAACAAATAATTTGAGAAGCTAGATGTTATGAAAAATAAGGCATCAGGATCAGAGGAAGACTCATCAACAACCTGTGTTGTGTAGATGGTATAACCTTGCTTGCCGGCAGTGAGGAGGACTAGAAGTATCTGCTACAGAAGATCATAGATTATAGTCTTCAAGGTGGATTACATCACAACATCAAGACAAACATCCTCACCACTGGGCCAACAGGCAACATCATGATACACGGTGATCATACTCAAATTGTCAACCATTTCATCTTTCTTGAATCAACAATCAACACCCTTGGTACCAACAGTCAAGAACTCAAGACATAATTACATTGGGAAAATCTGCTCTCAGGGATCTCTCCGAAGTGATGAAGTGCAAGGATGTCAGTTTAAAGACTGAGGTGTGCCTGATTCAAATCACAGACTTATCAATTACTTGTTACACATCTGAAAGGTGGACAATGACTATGGATGACTACGGAATACAGAAGAATCGATCTCTTTGAGTTGTGGAGCTGGAGAATAGCCCATGGACTGCCAAAACAGCACTGAATAGCCCATGGACTGCCAAAAGAACCAGTCAGTCTGTTGTGGAGAAAAGTGCAATGAGGGTGCTTCTTGGAAGAAGGCGTGGTGAAGCTTTGTCCCATATACTTTGGGTTTGTTATTAGGGTGGGGCCTGTCCTTGGAGAAAGACATCACGTTTAGAAAGATGGAAGGTCAGGATAATAGGAAGACCCTCAACAAAACGTACTGACATGACACCTGGAACAAAGAATTCAAGTATATTTGAGATGGCAAGGATGGCACAGGATTGGACGAGGTTCAGATCTGTTGTTAAAAGGGCTGTTGAACTGTGATCAACTCAAAGGCACACAACAACACTGGGTTGCTATTTGAAAGCTTGGTGGTTCAAATCCACCAGCTGCTCCACAGAAGAAAAATGGACAAGCTCCTCCCACAAAAATTTAGTCTCTCAAACTCAATGGAGAGTTGCTATGATCACATTCAATTTGACAGACGGAGGTTTTGAGGGTTTTTCGCCTAAAAAAGGAATTGTGGTGGTGCAGTGGCGACAGAATTCAGCTGCTAACAAAAAGGTGGGTGCCTGGAACCCTCTCCCAGCCACTCCTTGTGGGAGAAGATGTGGCACTCGGCTTCCATGACGCTTTACAGCCCTGGAAATCCTGCAGTGCAGTCCCCCACGGACCCTCCCAACTGCGGGGACTCAATCCACTGGATGGCAAGGAGACTGAATTTTCATGGGTTTTGTGGCCCCTGGAAAATGTAGATTCTTATATAAAGCTGGATCCACTAATTTACTGAAAAGCAAACACTGGCCCAAGCTGCACAGGTATGAATGCAGTGGACACCCTGAAGGCATGCCACCCCGACAGGCCACCCCCTCAACAGTAGGCTCGACCATGCCAATTATTCTCTGGCTCCATCCCAAAGCGACCTGTTTTGAGGTCTCCCGGGGCCCCGAGCTGCATTCCCGGTTGGCTCTGATGCACGTTTGAGAGTTCAGGTGGGTGGCACCATGCAGACCTGTGCTGATGCAGGTTTCTGAGCAGGTGGGGGCCCCTGGGAGGCGCAGCAGCTGCTGGCTTTGTAACTGCAGGAGTTGCCCAAGAAAACCCCAGCTAGGATTCATCCAACAGTGTTTATCCAACACCTCCCGTGAGTCAGGCACGGTTCTCAGAGCTGAGAACAAAACAAACAAAGCCCAGCCCAGTGGGGACCGAGGCAGCGGGGTTAGAGGAAGCCATGCAGAAAGCGGGGTTCACCTGCCAGGTAGACAGTGAACGGCTTGTGTGGTCAGGGAGCTCCGGTCACCCACTCACCCTCCCAATGCACTCAGTTCTGGCTCTGTGACCTGGGGAATCCTGCTACCTGGTGGCACCACGGAGGGAAAGAAATGAGATGGAATACAGCAGGTGCTCCATAAATGCACAGCCCTTCCTATCTCTGTGGCAGAGAGAGAGTGGCCACAAAGCAGCCAGTAGAAGCCCACCACTCCCCGCAGTCCCCCATCCAGAGCCCCTCTGCCATCTCCCACCACTCACCCCAACTCACCAAGACCCAACGAGTGGGGATCATCTTCAGGGACCCCAGAACAGTCTGGCGGGCCCTTGTCTCCCGTACGTGGTCACCTCTGCCTTTCAACACTGCTTCCCCAGGAAGTCCTCCCTGCCCCCCAAGTCAGAGTGGGGGCCCTCCCCGGGCTCCCAGTTCTGACGATGCAGCAGCCTCCCTGTGCTGAACAGCAGGCTCTGCAGGGCGGCAGGGGCCTGTCTGTCCCTTTCGTCTTATGTCTGTCCCTTTCGTCTTATGTCTGCCCCACTCGTCCACCACTCAACCAGGGCAATGTCCCTCACAGGGGACACGGGAGGGGATCATCTGTCTTTCCAAGAATCTCATATGGAGCAAAGACAGCCTCAACCTCAGGAGTGGACAAGCACCTGTTCCCCGCTGTCCCAGGCACCTGAGAATGACACTGGCATGGCCTAGACCCACCCACAGCCCACCTGGACCACAGTGTATGCCAACCCTGGGTCTGAGTAACTGTCAGGCAAAAACACGGTATCCCTTGTGAATGGCATAATGAATCAAGACGTTAAAGTATGGGAACCTCACAGTCAGTTTCCACCTGGTAAACCCCCAGACAGTGCACACACCAGAGACAGTGCACGTACCAGAGACAATGCACGCACCAGAGATAGTGAATATGCCAGAGACAGTGCACGCACCAGAGACAGTGCACGTACCAGAGACAATGCACGCACCAGAGACAGTGAATATGCCAGAGACAGTGCACGCACCAGAGACAGTGCACGTACCAGAGACAGTGTATGTACCAGAGACAGTGAATGTACCAGGACTATGAGCAGCGCAAAGCAGCTCTGGTGGCCGAGTCCGTAGGGAGTTGTGCTCCTAACCCAAAGGTGCCCCCTCTGGCAGTTCTAATCCACCTCGGCTCCTCAGAAGAAACATGGGCAGTCTCCTCCTGTGCTATTTATAGTCTCCAAAACCTGATGGAGGGTCTGCTAGGAGTCGGCTCAGAGTTTTTAAAGTTTGATCAGAAGCCTTGGTGGCACAACACTTAAAGCAAAAGGCTTCCAGTTCAAAGCCATCTGCTCTTTAGGAGAGAAGACCTAGCGGTCTGCTCCCATCAGGATTACAGCCTAGGAAACCTGACAGGGCGTCTCCACACATCCAGGCTGGGTACTGTTGAGATGGCTCGTTCTCATACAACTCCGTGTACACGAGATCGAAACCCTGTCCGATCCTCACAAACCACCGTGCTGAAGCCCACTGCTGCAGTCACTCTGTCAGTCCATCTGGTTGAGGGTCCTTCCTCTTTTTTACCAAGGCTCTGCTTTTCCAAGCGCAGGACTGCGCCCTCCTGATGACAAGGCCTCCAGAGTAAGTGAGAAAAAGTCTCTCCATCCTTGCCTCTCTGTCCTATATGTAGGGCTGCTATGAGTTGAAACTAACCCTACAACATACAACTAACTACTCCTCTATGGAGTCCTGCCCTAGATGGGAATGGGGAAAAGATGGCCCCCACTCTCAGTAGGGCTGTCCCTTTACGAGTCTGGAAGCTCCTCGGATGGTGTCGTGGGAGCCCTACTCCTGATGCAGGGTTTGGCAACACACAGGTGCTGAGCAAACTTCTTCTGGCAAGGCTGCAGGGACAGCCATGCACAAGACCCACCCACGGTGCCAAGGTGAGAGGTGGGGGTCACCCTGGTCACGATTCCACTTTGGAGACTGCACGAAGTTCCCAACATGTAGTCGGGGGACCCTTCTGTGTGATGACTACACTGGGTGTGAGAAGAAAAGCGTGGCGAGAATCCTCTGGGGAGGTCTCGACAGACTGTGGAGCCCTGGTGGTGCCGTGGTTAGTCAGCACTTGCCTACTTAGGAGAAGGTCGGTGGTTTGAACCCACCAGCCGGTTTTAGGGAAAATGAAGGCCATCTTGCTTCCACCAAGACTTGGAAACCCGCTGGGCAGTTCTACTCTGCCCTGCCGGATCCCTGTGAGTGAGAAGCAACTTGACAGCTGTTAAGTAAATTATGTCCTCGGCGGAGCAAAATGGTCTGGGTTATGAACCTAATAGTTAAAGTGTTCAAATCCACCCTGGTGATCTGCTTCCATAATTAGAGCTAAGGAAACCCTATGTGGAAATTGACTTGACCACGGTGGCGGGACAGGGGTAAGGCTGTGAGAGCTGTCCCCGTGTGGGGACGCGGTCCGGCCCCTACCTCCATGCGCGCCTTGTAGAAGTCCACATCATGCAGCTTCTCACGGCAACGCACCAGCTCCATCTCCAGCCGCTCCACGCGGTTGGCCTTCTCCCTCAGGGAGTCCAGCTCGTCACGGTAGGCACGTGCAGACCGGGCATCAGCCGCCAGCTGGACGTTCTGCCAGGGAGGACAGCCAAGCTCAGGGACTGATCGGGCAGGGATGCATGGGCTCCGCACATAGAGGGCTGGTCCCTGGAGGGCGGAGCTCCCCAGAGTCCAGGCAGAGTGGACAGCTCTGCACTCACGGCTCTACGTGGGCACCTGCAGCGGTCAGTCGGGGCAGCTGTGGAAGCCTCTGTGGCCACTCCACACACTGCATCCCTGAGCCAATGGCTACCCCGCCCGCACCACACAGGTCCCCCGCCTACCTCCTGCTTGACCTTCTGCAGCTCCAGGGTCAGCTGGTCCACCTCGTGTCTAGCATCCACAAGCTGCTCTGTCTTCTCCTCCCTACGGTGGGATTAGAAAAGGGCATGAGGACAGAGTCCTTGGCCATCACTGTGGGCCACTGGCCACTTTGTAAGGAACCAGGACCTGAACCTCTGGAGCCTACAAAACAGACTCAGAATTCTCCTCCGTCTCTAGTCTCCAATGTCTGCCCCTATTCCAGGTCCAGCAGCCACTTGGGTGTTCCTCCAGAGTGCAGGACAGCTGGGGGACTGCAGGGGAGGAGGGCGGTGTCTGAGAGAACAAGCCAGGTGACATCCCCCCCGCTACAGAGAAGGGGAGAAGCAGGTTCTCCATCAAAGGGGGCTAGCCCTGTGCCCTCTCGGCCAAGAACACACACCAGTGCACACGTGCTAGGCTGCAGGCCAAGGGACTGGAGGTTCCCCACCCTGCAAAGGCACCCAGAAGAAAGGGCTGGCGATCAACTTCTAAAAACAGGCACCAGATATGTGACAGCACAGTTCTCCTGTGATGCACGTGGGTCAGACTTGGCCGCAGCTTTGCGTCATGCCAGTCCCAAACTGGGCCAAAGAGTACAGACAAGAGTCTATACCACGGAGACTGAACCTCTCTTCCTGCAGGCCCCACGGGACGAGCAGGCAGATGACAAGTTTCAGAGCAGACCTGGAGTCCCTCAGCTCAGGTCTGCCTTTCCTGAACTGCATTCTATATGAAGGAGAATGACACCCCGAAACACACATGTGACACCCCAAACGGCCTTGATGGTAGCAAAGACTCACAGCTCCTGCCGGACCCGCCGCAGCCGGGCCTTGGTGTCGGCCAGCTCCACGGCCAGGTGCTGCCGGTCTTCGCTGGACAGGCTGCTGGTGGGGCTGGGGGTGGAGTCGGCGCTGGATGACTTGAGGGGGCTGGGCGGCTGCTGGGCCTGCAGGTAATCCCGCTCCTGTGTGAGGTCCACGATGAGCTGGGACAGAGAGGAGGACGGTGAGAGGACAGAGGGGAGAGCAATGGGCAGACGGGGAGAGTGGTGGATGGGCCTGTGTGAGGTCCACTATGAGCTGGGATGGGGGGGGATGGGGAGAGGACAGAGGGGAGAGCGATGGGTGGACGGGGAGAGTGGTAGATGGACCTGTGTGAGGTCCACGATGAGCTGGGACAGAGCGGAGATGAGGAGAGGACAGAGGGGAGAGTGGTGGATGGACCTGTGTGAGGTCCACGATGAGCTGGGACAGAGCGGAGATGAGGAGAGGACAGAGGGGAGAGTGGTGGATGGACCTGTGTGAGGTCCACGATGAGCTGGGATGAGGAGAGGACAGAGGGGAAAGCAGTGGGCAGATGGAGAGAGTGGTGGGTGGACCTGCATGAGGTCCACGAAGAGCTGGGACAGAGAGGAGGACAGGGACAGTGGTGGGCAGCCCGAGCCCAGCTCCACCCCTGCGGGTCACCCGGCGGGGGTGGTGGTGGTGGGTGTACCTCTGAGCACTCGTCCCGTTCATCGACGAGCCTCCGGAGGTGGAACACCATGTTCCGAGACAGCGCCTCCAGTTCCTCGGGGGCCACGTCAGGCAGCTCCAGCCACTGCAGGTCAAACACGTTCTCCTGGTTGTGGGTCACCTGTGGGTACACAGGGTGGCTCGATGCAGAGGGAGGGGTCCTGAGGCACGCCGTCCCCCCCGTGCCAGCTGCACCAGGGTCGGCACAGGCGACGGCCACACGGCACAATGCTACATCCACTCAATGTCCCCATGGAGCCCGCTGTGACCAGAGTCCTGTGGCTGATGGGCGGCTCCCTACAAGAGGCAGCCAGACGACGAACACAAACACGAACCATGAGTGCTCCAGGGCCAGTGCGAAGAGGACGCAGCCTGGGACAAAACTCACCATGAGTGGTCAGCTTTACTGCGCCAACAGAGACCGCCAGAGCCCTGACTCTCTTGATTTTTAAGTCACGCTTCAATCCTGGCAATTAACTCACCACCACCCCCCACTCCAAATGCTTCCATTTTCAGCCAAACAGAAGATCAGGAACACCTGAGAGGCCTCTGTCCTTGGAACAAGTAACCACAGGAGATCGAAGCGGCAGCATCTGCTCAGGAGTAGAGCTCAGAGGTAAGATAAAGGAGGAGTGAGAAAGGGAAACACAAGGAAGAAGTGGATAGAGTGCTGTTAGCTACTGGGACCTGCTGTCAACGTCACGAGAGCTCTTGTACCGCTAAGCCCCTCTGGTGGTTCACATCACCAGGGTCTCTGTGGGACAAAGATGGACGATCTCCTGTGTGATTTATCACCTCCAAAACCCTGCAAGAGGGCCGGCAATGGGTCGGTTCCAACTTTTATTTTATTTTATTTTATTATTTTTGTGTGCGTGTACCGTCAAATCAGATCTGACTGGTACAGGAGGAGATGGCCCCTCCTTCCCCGGCAGAGCATCTGGTGGATTAGTCGGTTCCAACTTGACGACAAAAAGAAACTTAACTGGATTTGGCTCCACCCTAAAGTTTGTCCTATGGCAGAACCTCCTGAAAGCCGGGCTCTGGACCTGCTCTGGACCCAAACCCGCTACTCTGATAGCCAGTTTCAACTCACAGAGACTCTGCTTAGTTTCAAGGCTATACATCTTAACAGAAGCCGACTGCTTCATTTCTTCCCCTCGGTGCAGCTGGTGGATTCAAAATGATGACCTTGTGGCTGGCAGTCCAACATGTAACAGTCAGGGACTGGGAAGCCTTCTCCACCTTTGAAGGGCTGTCGTGGCCGACAGAGGCCCAGCAGCCCAGCTACACCAGGATGACTGGGGTCCTTTCAATTAAAGGCACAGGCCCTGTTCGCCGGGGCTCTGGCTCGGGGGGTCTCTTGGCGGGGCCTCGGCCCCTGTGTTTTCAGAAGCCCTCAATAGCCTCTGCAGCCCTGCCCCGCTCCCGGTCACGCCTCTATTAACAACACCCTGTGGGCCTGGCAGGAAAGAGATCAGGCTGGTAAGTAACAGGCTAATCTCACGGGGCCTGCTCCCCAGGCAGAGAGAAAAATGAAAAGCAGATGGTCCTTAGCTCACCGGCGGCCAGTCACTGTCACTCATGCCAGACTCAGAGACCCCCAACCGTGACTCAGAACTCAGGCCCTGCCGATGCAGAAGGCATCATTGATTCAGCGGCCCGCACTACTTACACACCTACATTCCTGCATGTGTGTGTCTTTTTCATACATTGATCTCATCTGTGTCTTCAGAATGAACACTGAACCCTGTTGTCCAACAGGACTAGTGCAGACAACTATTGGGGGGGGTGGTGTGAAGATGGAGGTCAAGGCAGTAAATTCTCAGGGGGGAGCCCGTGTGCTCTGACAGATCTCATTCCCACTGCCAGCACCTCCTCCTCAGGACCAGGACCTGCTCTATTCTGTTATTCTTTTTTTTTTTTTTATGGTGAGAAAAATTTATTACATTTAGAATTAGCCCGCTGGACTCAGTTTAGATGATCCCAATTTTGTTGGCAACATTCAAAGCATCATAGTCAGGAGCAAGTCAAACATAGGCCTTCTTCTCTCCATCAGGCCTAATCAAAGTGTTGACCTTGGCCACATCAATGTCATAGAGCTTCTTTACAGCTTGTTTAATTTGGTGCTTTTTGGCCTTGACATCCACAATGAACACAAGTGTGTTGTTATCTTCTATCTTCTTCATGGCTGACTCAGTGGTCAGGGGAAATTTGATGATGGCATAGTGGTCAAGCTTGTTTTTCCTGGGGTCACTCTTCCGGGGGTATTTGGGCTGCCTCCGGAGTCTCAGCGTCTTAGGCCGCCGGAACGTGGGTGACGTGCGGATCTTCTTTTTTTTTTGGCTGTGGACGCCCTTCAGGACTGCCTTCTTGGCCTTCAATGCCTTTGCTTTGGCTTCAGTTTTGGGAGGGGCAGGGGCTTCCTTCTTCACTTTCGGCGCCATCTTCGTAGAAAGGCTCTATTCTGTCATTCTTAAGGTCGTTATGAGTGTGCACCACCTCCCCAGCACCCGTCCTTGTCACACCTGTCCCTCTGCTAACAGGAGTGACGGTGCCCAGGAGAGTTTGCCTCAAAGTGCAGTCCCTCACCACCTCCACCACAGGACATCTGCACAGCTCCCCTCTCCCAGGCTGAGTGCCCACCTGCCCCCCCAGCCCTCAGGGACACACTGCCGTCAGCGCATCACTGACCGGAGCGGCGACTCTCTTTCCATAAGGATCAGCCATCCGAAGCAGGCTGACATTTGCCAGAATCCATTTTCAGAGACTGTATATCAAATTCTGAGCCTAAACTATTTGACAGCTCTTAAAAATAATCTGAGTCCATATTAGGCAAGAAAGGAGGAGACAAAGAGATGGCCCTGATGGAGGTATGTGCTGAATTTTTAATTTTTACTCTTATTTTATGTTAGCTTGTTGATGGACATCTTTTCTAAATAGACTCGACGTGTCTGAAACCCAAAATAAACACAATCCCCAAACGTTTGCATTGTGGAGAGCATCTGTCTCCTGGGCACCACAAGGATGGAGAGACTCTAGCCAAGCCCTCCACTTACCTCCTGAATATGGGCCACGATTCCAGCCTGGGTCTCGATGTCCAGCTGTTTGATCCTCTCAATAAACTCCTCCTTCCGCTCACACTATCGAGAGAAAACACGTATTAACTGAAGCTGTTCTGCAGCGGGAAAGAGAGAAGTGCAGACCCAAAATGAACCTCCCACCTACCCCCTGGCTTCTCCTCTGTAACCAAGAGTGTTCTTGTTCCCCTAGCCATCCCACACTGGCTCTGTACTGAGAGGTGCAGAGACCACCCCATCAGGGTCATCTGCGAGGGCTTGTTCATAAAAAGCTCAAACCTCCATTCCAGACTGCAAACACTGGGCTAAGACAGAAATCCACAGTGAAACAAGAAAATCCAGTGATTCTTAAACAGAGAGTCAGAACCCCCCTACCCTCAATGAGCTTTCCACCAAACCATCTAGCTCAACTAGAACAATAAGGTCCATCTAGAGCGTTACGTTGTTTTTTGGGGTTTTTTTTTTAGTACGTATTTTTATTTTTCTACACAAATGTTTAACATCATGCAATGCATTCATTTAGTTACAAATTTCCAAAGCACGTGTGGATAATAAAACCGTGACTGAGGACTTGTACAGTTTCTAGTTAGACCTTCTGGACAAGTCAAACAATAGTTTGCAACTAATTATGTGCAACATGAGGGATTTGGTTACCTGTGATTGTTGGAGTGAAACCAAGCAAATAAAAAACAGACTTTTAAAATTACGTTTTAGGAAATGTATCCTAGAACCTTGCTGTCACCTGGGAGAACTCACGAGACACTATTCATACTGTGTGTTTTTCTAAATATAGTTGGGGTTTTTTCTTACTGGCCATAATATTGTAGTTATGTGCCGTTGAGTGAGAATTGATCCAGCTAACCTTTCAATGGGTTTTCAGGATGGGGCAAGGTTCAAAGGGACACTGTGGGTCGTAGTCAACTTGCCAGCACCTAACAACAATATGGTCCTATTCTTTTACATTTTTTTTATTAATTTAAATGAAAGTTTACAGAGACTTAAGAGTTTCTAGTCATTCATTGTTTCACTTTGAGCCTTAGGTTCTTTTAAAGAATTAATCGTATCAGACCACACTCAAACAACAACTCGAAAGGAGCAGTGAGTTAGTGTGTACGACAGAGAAACAATTTGAAAAAGGGTATTGTAAAAAGTGGAATAATATGAGAAATCTGACCAGTGTCACTGAATTGTATGCGTAGGAATTGCTGGACTGCTGTATTTTCACTGTGTATATCTTCACAGAAAGAGGGCTGAAAGGAGGACCTCTGGTTCAGGCCTAGGGCTGGCAAACTTCTTCTTTAAGGACTAGCTGGTAACAATCTGAGAGAGCTCTGTTTGCCTAGTGGGTTAAGGAGTTGTGCTGCCAACCCAAAGGCAGGCAGTTTGAATCCACTAGAAGCGCTGTCAGAGAAAGATGGACAATCTCCTCGGGTGGGCTATGGAGCCTCTGAAAACCTACTGAAGATCAGCGATGAGTCAGTTCTGATGTTACAGCAATGAGTTTAAAGTAACAATTTTAGATTTTGCTGATCACTTGGTCTTTTGTCAAAACTACTCAATTCTACTATTTGAGTCTGTTGAGTAGCACAGACAATATGAAATGGAATGAGCATTGGTGGTGTCCCAATAACTTTATTTATACAAGATAAGTTATGGGGCAGATGTGGCCTGTGGGTTGTAGTTTGCTGATCTGTATTTACACGTTCCTGTACTGGGATTTCATCTTAGTTGAATCCATAATCCACACCCTTGGTAGCAGCAGTAGCAGTCAGGAGATCAAGAGACAATATTTCATTGCGAAAGTCTGCTGTCACAGACCTCTTCAAATTACTGAGCAATGGTATCACTCTGAAGACTAAGGTGCACCTGCCACAGGCCATGATCTTTTCAATCACTTGCTATGCATCTGAGAGCTGGACAATGAGAGTAAGGAAGAGTAAGGATGACAGAAGAATTGATGTCTTTAAGTTGTGGTGCTGGAATACTGACTATCCATGGACTGCCAAAAGAACAGAAAAGTCTTGGAGAAAGTGTAACCAGAATGCTTCTTGAAGGCAAAGATGATAAAGCTTCATCTCACATAATTTGGACATGTTTCTAGGAGCAGTTATTCCTTGGAGAGAGATATCATCCTTGGAAAGGCAGGCGCTCAGCAAAAGAAAGTAAGACCCTCAATCACACAGATAGACTCAGTGACTGCAGGAATAGGCTCAAGTGTGTGAGATGAGGGGGACACAGGCTAACACAGGATTCAGAACTGTTACAGGGTCGCTATGAGTCGTCTATGATTCAACGACACTTAACAACAATAACAACGACAACACAGAGAGAAGCTATGCTGGCCTAGTGGACAGAAAGTTATGGTACCAAGCCCAAGGTGGGTGATTTTAATCTGAGGCCCTCAAGCCTGGTTTAAATTGTTTTCTGTCAAACATTCTTCTAAGTGGTATAGCACTGGTCTGTGCATTGCTGTACAGAGGAAACTCATGGTTGCTGTGATGCTAAACACTGTGACACTGATGTGCCAAATGTGAGAATGGTTACCCATGTTGGACAGTGTGTGGTGGAGCTTCCCAATTAAAACAAGCGTGGAAGCAGGAGTGGCATCCACTTCCAAAATGGCTTGCCTCTGGAAAACTCTATGAACGGTGGTGGGTCACTATGAGTCGTCTACAACTCAACGGCACTTAACAACAACAACAGGGTCACTATGAGTCACATTTGACTTGATGGCACTTAACAACAACACTGGGAATGAATAGATAATGATACACCTGGCCCCCAGGAGCCCCATCTGGCCTCCTGTCCCACATACGCTCGTGCTAGAAACACTGGCCACCTCAGTTGGAATCACTTCTCCTAGGAGCCCAGTGTCTTCTCCTGTGTTGAACATAAAACAGCTGCTTCTTATCTAAGGGAGCATTTGTCCCCCCAAACCCCAGGCTTGAGGCGGCCAACCACTGGCCCTGCCCATGCCCGCTGCCCTACCTGGACGGCACAGCCCAGCAGCAGCAGCAGCACCTTCTTGATTTCCTCCATGCTTTTCCCTAAAGGTCAAAAGAGCAACAGACTTAATTATGCTCGACTGTTTACACCTTCCACCAGCAACGCATGTTTGCTGTAGAAAAAAAAGAAAAAGTAATGCTGTCTTTAGCCAGTAGTCACCCCATAAGCACACACACTTCCCACCAATCTTTCCCAAATGGCCTTATTTCCTTTTATTCAAACCATGCCATAGTAAGACCCGCACAAGGTGGGAAGCTGTCGGAGGGAAAACCTAGCCCAGTGCCCTCAAGTTAATTCTGACTCGTGGCGAGTCTCCACTCAGTGTTCATAACTCTACGTAAATCTTACTAGAGCAGACTACCTCGTAGATCAGCTGGTGCATTTGAACCGCCCATCTTTCTGTTAGCTGCCCATCAGGGGGTCCACTATGGCACCGGGTGGACTCTCAAGCATTTTCCACAAAAACAAGTGAAATGGAAGTGGTAAGACCACAGGCTGTCCAAAGCTGTAACCTTGGGAGACCCAGGGAAACAAGGCAGCCTGTCGAGTTCCAGCACTCACGGGATCCACTGTGTACATGCAGCCCTTTCCACACAAGGGGGTTCTAAGTAGCTACCCATGTGGTTACTGTATTTGACCATCATCATGTAAAGAGGCGAGAATCGGCTCCTTCAGATCCGTGGATGGGCTCTGGAGCAAGGCGGCGTGGCTCACTCCTGTACATGACTCTCCCCTTTTATGATGGGAAATCGCAGAGACCAAGGAGACCACTGTATAATGAACTCACTGTCACCAGCTTCCCGTCACCACCCAGGCCTGCCTTCCTTTCTCAGCGTCACTTCCAACCCTATCTTGTAAGCTCCACTGTTTGGCTCAATTCTCTAATGCCAAGACCCAGGCATGGGGTCGACCACTCTGGAAGGCCAAGCTCTGACTTTTTAAAAAATTTTATTTTGGCAAGCTCTGGTGGCCTAGTGGCAAGAAGCTGCAACTACAGTCTCAGAGGTGCACGGTTCAAATCCACCAGATGCTCTGCTGGAGAAGGAGGAACAATCTCCTCCTGTACCAGTCAGATCTGATCTGACGGTACACACAAAAAATAATGAAATAAAATAAATTTAAAGAAAAAAAATTTATTTTATTTTTTATTTTTATTTTTTGTGTGTGTACTGTCAAATTAGATCTGACTAGTATGGGAGGAGAATGCCCCTCCTTCTCCAGCAGAGCATCTGGTGGACTCGAACCACGTACCTCTGGAATTGCAGTGCAGCTTCTTGCATTCTGACTTTTTATAAAGGTCACAAACAGATCCAACTAACGTCCTTTAAGAGGCTCCGCTTTCCCAGCATCTTAACCTAAGCGGTGCCCCCAGACCATCCCAGCGGCTAGCTGTTCGTGCACATCCTCCCTGACTTCCTCTGGGCAAACTCATCAACGGTTTCACCATCTTCAGGTTGTCAAATTGCCTGGCAAGAACAGTTATCCTGACACTCTCACAAATAACAGAAACTGGTAAACCAGAAGCCATCAAGTTGACTCACACCCCGTGGTGCTGCAGTAGAGTTGTACACCAGAGAGCTTTTAAAAGAGGGCTCTTCTGAAGCGGTCAGCCAGGGCTTTCTTGCAGGGCACCTATGAGTGGACTCCCACCTTTTGGTTAGTACCCTTCTCAGTTAACCATTTGCACAACCAAAACCAAAACCAACACTGTCCAGTTGATTCGGACTCGTGCGAACCTTCACTGGGTTTCCAAGGTCGCAAATCTTAGCAAGAGCAGATTACGTGTTAAGGAGTTGTTTGTGGATTGGAACCACTGACCTTCTGGTTTGCAGCCCCACATGTACCCTATTACGCCTCCAGGGCCCCGTGGACAACCCAGGGACTCTATCTGTTAGCCCATTTCCTCACCTCAGTACAACACATCGTTGTCCATAGAGTTTTCAAAGGCCTGTTATTTCAGAAGGAGATAGCCAATCCTGCTTCTTAGTCTAGAAGCTCAAGCTCCACTGCACCTGTCCACCATGAGGGACCTGACTGGTATTTGAAATAGCAACAGCAGAGCATCCAGCATCACAGTAACACACAAGCCACCACAGGACGGCAAACTCACAGATGGACTGACACAGCTGTGACTACCACAATGGGTTTACGCAGAGCTCGGGAGACAGGCACAGGATAGGGCAAGATTAAGATGCGTCGCTCACAGGTCGCTGTGAGTCACAGTCAACTTGATGGCACTTAAATAAAGAGCTTCTGAACAGAGCAGAGGAACACTGCATGGTTCAAAATCAAGAAAGGAGTGAGCGCATCAGCAATGTATCCTGTTGCCATACCTTTTCGATCTACATGCAGGACAGATCATTGAGGAGGCTGGACTTTATAAGGAAGAATGTAGCAACAGGATTGGAGGAAGACTCATCAACAACCTGCATTATGCAGATAACACAGCCTCGTGCACCAAAACTGAGGAAGACCTGAAGCATTTGCTGCAAAAGGTCAAGGAATGCAGTGTTCAGTATGGACCTCATCTCAACATTAAGAAAACAAAGATTAAAAAAAAATTAAACAGAAAAATAAAGATCCTCACCACCAGGCCAATAGGCAGTATCACGACAGATGGAGAAAAGATTGAGGTTGTTAATGATTTCACCTTGGCAATCAATACTCATGGCACCAGCAGTCAGGAAAGCAAAAGACCAGCTGCATTAGGTAATCTGCTGTCAAGGATCTCACCAGAGTACTAAAGAGGAACGGTGTCAGTCTAGAGACTAAAGTGCACCTGATCCAGGCTGGAATGCCATCTTCCCAACTGCTTGCTGAACACCTGACAGCTGAACAATGACTAAGAATGACAGAAGAAGAACTGATGCCTCTGAACTGTGGTGTTGGAGAAGAGTGTCGAACACATCAAGGACTGCCAAGAGAACAAATAGGTCTGTCCTGGCGAGGGTGAGACCAAGTGGCCCCTTGGAGGCAAGAATTTTAAAGCTCCTTCTCACATACTCTGGGCATGTCACCAGGAGGAAGCAGTACCTTGGAGAGGAATATCATGCTTGGAAGGGTGGAGGGTCAGCACAGAAGAGGAAGATCATGGATGAGGTGGACTGACACAGTGAGTGGGGCAAGAGGGGTAGGTGTGGCAGAAACAGGGAGACTGGCTCAGGATAGAGCAGGGTTCAGAGCTACTGTTTTATAGGGTTGCTATGAGTCAAAGTCACATAACTCAACAGCACCTAGCAACAACAAACAACAGACTAACCCTCATGGGACCACTTTCACAACTTTGCAATCAGACCCCCAATCCCGTCTCATCGTATTAAACGGTGTCTCCCTGACTGTACTAAAGCTGCAGGGTCTTCGCCTGTGCACTGCTCATAAACATCTGGAGTTAGGTTGGGTTTAGTCACCTAACTGCAATGTGACCCCAGTTAAACCACATTCCCTATGTTCAGGCCTCAATTTCCACATCTGTAAAATGGATGTGCTGGCCCAGGTGATATGCCTGGCATAAAAGTCGATGATTTTCTGCCTTTTTCATGTCATGTTGTATCTGAGGGAGAAAAGACACACCAGAAATAACAATTTTCTTAAAAACACTTACTTGCCAATACTCTGACACCGGATGCTGAAATGGTCCAGCTCCTCAGTGGGATAAAAAGGATGGGGTTCCCTCTAGATCTGATGAGCATGTGGAATAAAAGGCCACCTTCTTCTGATACCTCTCCTCAGAGAAGAGGCTAAAAATGGCTTTTCCTGAGATAATGGCTTCATTGTTTCACAAGTAGGAGCTGGGAGTTCACTCAACCAGAAAAGCCCCTCCCAGCCTCCAGGCGGCTGGGTGGGACGGGTGGGCTGGCCACAGGCAATGGGGGGCCACTTCCCCGCTGGGCACTGAGATTCCATGCTCTCAGGACTGGGCTCCATGCTGGGCACTGATTTGCTGCGGTTAAACCCTCCCTCCGCTAGGAAGCATGGCGATTTATCACCATTTGGAGCGGAACATTTCTCAAAGCCCTGCAGGACTTTTAAAAAAAAACAAGTTAAGGCCTTTGATTTGGCCCATGAGGCTCTAACCCAGAGACTCAAACATGTTTCCCCAATGACCTGCTTCTGTTAAAGCTCAACTATTGATCGGACACTTCATTTTCATTTTAATGAGAAGGAAAGGCCACACCAGCCTTATAAAAGCCCACGTTAGCCTGACCACAATCCTCCAGGGATGGCATCTCTCCCTCCATCCTCATCTTCCTCAGGCACTCCACACGCAGACACGGGCCAGCGCCCACCATAAGCCCCTCTGGGGCTTATCAAAGGCATAGACCTCTCCCAGCTCCTTGTCCACTGAGAGATTCACCTTCTCAAAGGCCACTTACCAAGACATGCCCCCTCACCCACTGCAGGCCAGACAGAAGCATGGGTTCACAGAAAAGGCGTCTGCAAGCTCCTCACAGCACAGGCCCCAGGGGACCTAATTAAGTCATCTTCCAGAACCATTTAGACAACTCTCCAATGGTGCATCGCCCAGCCCAGCGTGCCTTAAACAGAAAATTACATGAGGGAGGACCGGGGAGCAAGAACCCAAGCTCTAACTGGACAGCGAGGAAGAGGCAGGCACTGTGCACAGAGCACTCAATGATTTCAGTTTTACGCGCACGTGTCCATGTATATTGCGCACGTGTCCATGTATATTGCGCACACAGCACGAATAAAACACAGGAACGTAAAATACTCAATGATCTAAGCTTTATGTGCACGCGTCCATGTATAACACACACACAGCATGAATAATGCACAGGAACATACATCATCAACGATTTAAGGTTTACTGCACGTGTCTGTGTACAACGCGCACACAGCACAAATAACATATCGAAATGGAAAGGGCTCCATGATTTAAGTTTTACTTGCATGTGTCCCTGTATAACACGCACACACAGCACGAATGACACATAGGAACGTAAAGGGCTCCAGGATTTACGTTTTACCTGCATGTGTCCATATATAAGGCACGCACAGCACAAACAACACACAGGAACCTAAC